AACTTTCTTAGTTTATTTATTTTCACAATCCAGTTACCTCAGGTAAAACATCTATTATAGTTGTTTACCCTGAGATGCTCCCTCCTAGAGTCTTTCGTTCCTTCTCTGGGCTGACTGCACTCTTGGGCCACTTCACACTTGTCCTCCCAGGACTTAAGTGTTTTGTGATCCTTGGAGTTTCTCCTGGATTGGATTCCCTATTCCTTTCTTGGTTTACTCCCACTGGCCTGGTCAAGCGTAGCCCCCATGTTTGTGTCAGGTTAAGATGCTGGTACCACGCTGGAGCTTGTCGGTGTGCCTGGGGCTGAGTTACCGTTCTGGAGTCTCCGTCCCCCCTCGTGCTGCTGTGTGCCTTCTCCTTCCCGTGCTGCATCCCCTCCTGTTTCTCTCCTGTGTCTTGCTCTTCTTGGTTTACTCCACCTTTTTGTGGGGGACGTTCTCAGCGGTTTCCTAAGAACTGCCAGAGGTAAACTTTCGGGTGACTTGTATGTCCCAAAGTTCCTCTGCTCTGTCCTCATACTTGAGTAACAGTGTATCTGGGTACTGAATTTTAATTGGAAAATCTTTTCCTTCAGCATTTTGAAAGAATTTGTCTCTTCCTTTCTTGCATCCAAGATTGCTGTGGGAAAATCTGTATCTATTTTGATTCCTGATCATCTCTTAAGTATGTGACTTGTTTGTTTCCTTTCTGAAAGCTTATAGGATGTTCTGTTAGTATCTATAATTCTGCACCATGACCTTGACGTGCCTCAGGCTCTTTTCATCCTGGAAATGTGTGTCCTTTACTTTTGGGAAAAAATTTCTTGAAGTATTTAATTGATTTTCCTACCTTCCTTTTTTGCATTCTTTCTGTAAAATTGTTATTTTTGTATGTTGAACCCTCTGGACTGGTCCTCCAATTAATTATCTTCTGTTTTCCACTACTTTTTTTCTTTTTACACTGTTTTCCTCAGTCTTTATCTTCTCACCCTTGTATTGATTTTTCTGTTTCTGCAATCATGTTTTTAATTTCAAGGTCTTTATTATTCTCTTAATGTCTCTTTTTTATTTTTATTTTTTTATTATTTTGTAATGTTTTTATTTATTTCTGAGAGAGAGAGAAAGAGGCAGCGTGAGCAGGGGAGGGTCAGAGAGAGAGGGAGACACAGCATCTGAAACAGGGTCCAGGCTCTGAGCTGGCAGTCAGCACAGAGCCCGACGTGCGGCTTGAACCCACAAACTGTGAGATCATGACCTGAGCTGAAGTCGGATGCTTAACCTACTGAGCCACCCAGGTGCCCTTTAATGTTTCTTTTTTAAATAGCAAACTGCTTTCATTTTGTGGGTGTGCTATAATGTCCTGACTCTTTGAGAATATTCATGGTATTTTCCCGTAAATTTTTTTCTCTGAACAGTATTATTTTCCTACAAGTTGCTTTCTAAATGCTTATGTTTGTTATTCTCTATTTTCTTTCTGATAATCCTAAATTATCTGTTCCTGATTAGAACAAATAATCCCAAAGAGGTGATTGAAGTTCTGGACCATGTGGATGTTGCCCATGTGACATGAGCTTTACTATAGCATTCTCTCGATTGATGATTTATTAGCGACTGGCTAGATTTTCTCTAGAGTCTTCCTGATCTCCTGCCTGAAGGAAAGGGTCTGCCTGCCAGCCTTTTGGGAGCCCAACGGTGAGAAGAGGGCTGGGACTCCTTGCTGGGGGACAGGGCATGTAACTGAATCCCGTTTCTGGTGTGCACGAGTGCCTCATTGGTGCCACCCCGTCGCCTCTCAGAGGTTGAGCAGTCTTCCACCCAGCTCGTGTGCAACTGGGGGGAGATCCAGAGATCCCCTTCTCTCTCAACACCATCCAGTTCTCTTTATTTTGATCCTCCCATTCTTACCCTCACTTCCAGAAGTATCCAGTAGATACCAGTTCCTGGGGCTTTGCTTGGTTGGTTTTTTGAAGACTGCAGTGTAAGCTGGGTTGATTGCAGCTTGACAGTTGCAGTCTTCGGAGTCCGCTTTCTGGGGTTTGCCAAGGCAGCTTCTCTTCGTCCATCCTGCTTCCGCCTTCTACAGCTGCGCTGCGGGGTCTCTGCACCTTCTCCTTGAGGATTTTCTCTAAAACAACAAATCACTTTTCTGTTGTTTTACTGAGTTTTGCAGTTGAGCAAGACTAGTTGTTGCTGTGCAAACCGTCCCTTATGTGGCCCCCCCCCACCCCCCACCCCCGCTTCTTTTCCTGCTGTGTATTTCTTTAGCAAGTGTAGGCATAGAAAGTGAAGGGTCATCCCTTTGCCTTTAAGACAGAGTTTTCTTTCTGGAACCACCATCATGACAGATATTATAGGAAAAAAACCTGTTTTTAAAATGTATTAACGCACACTTGTTTGTACTAAGTTCTCTATTGTCTGGGGTTTTTGTTTTTTTTTTTTCCTCCATATTCTAGCTTCACAGAACAAAAATACCACTGTAATATGAGAGCTTGAATGATGGCTATTTAGAAAACATCCAGTGACGTGTCTTACATTGGATTTCCAAAATCTAAAATCTTTTCTCTCTAGCCATATAGTGTGTTTGGTCTTACAGTAGTGAATGAAACTCCTAAGAAATATTTGTTCTTTTATAGACGGGTGGTTCTTAGACTTCAAGTGTCAGAAGCACTGGATGGATGGCTTATTAAAAGAGACTGCAGGGTTCCAGCCTCCAGAGTTTCTTGAGTCAGGAGGCCTGGAATGGGGCCTGAGATTTTCAGTTTCTAACAAATGATACTGATGCTAATGGGGACCACGCTTGGAAAATTACTGATACAGACAGTACTGAATGCCTAAAAAACAAAAACAGTACCACCAGAATCCCCCAGTATAGCTTTATTTCATTGTTATTTTTCAAATTGGTCAATTTGAATCTACTGTTGTTGTTCTCTTTGCCTAAAATACACGTTTACATAATTGTCTTGCAAGACAAGCACGGTCTCAACATTTTAATTAAGGAGTCCTTTTCTTCGGTCCACTGTTGTTCCTTTCTGAACCACGTGTTTAAGGCTTTGTGCCTTCCCACCCTTCTGTCTCCCTCATCTCTTCAGGTGCTAACAGCTTTAGTGGTGCTGCGTGGTCGAGGAGTCCGTCAGTCCGGCAGAAGTTGGCTGTCAGGACGAGCTCTCCTGTAGGAACAGTCTGGAATGAGCTCAGCCATGTGGGGTCTGCCTTTTGGTTGGAAACATGGTGATAGCATGTTGGGTGCACTTGTCTAAACATGGAAGGTCCCCGCTGAGATGGTGCATGTTCATGTGTAAGCACCAGCATTAGTGTCAGGGTACGTCTTTACTGGTCAGCAACTTGCCTGTGGCTATAGCAGGAAGCATACACTTGTTTGAATTGACTTGGAAACTCTGAATGATTAATTTGGCAGGAGAGGGGTTTTAATTGTGTCAAAGTGGATCCTTCATGGGAACAACTCTTTGTCTTAATTAAAGTAAAAAGATTAGCAAACAAAACTTGAGTTGAAGCAAAGAAAATAAAACCAGCCTTTTATCAGTTAGGTAAGTTAATCTAACAAAATAGCTGTAGGGAAGTAGGTGTGACACTGTGGACCTGAGGGAAGGGAGGGCTTAGCGTACTCCATGAGGAGGGTTACCCGTTACCTTCTTACTTGATTGCTCCCATTGAGTGTGGCATGGGAGGCTGTGGAAGTGTTGCACTGTTGGTTTTTAACCAGCACAGCTATTTTTTGTTCTTTATGTTGGTTAAGTTATAGTGCAAAGTGTGCTTTTTGACTTATTGAGTCAGTTCTGAAATCTTTGCTCACATTTCTATGCTTTCCAACCTTCGGATTATTTTTAGGTACAAGCTCTGCTTGATTCTTTGATCCCAGGAAGAGAGGAGTAAGCCAGTAGGACATTTTTTTTCTGACTTGTAATAGTGTCCTTTGTTTTCCCTAAATGGAATGACTCTTTCAGGGCTATGTTTTTTAAAATAAAAGGTAGCTTCAGAATGAGATAAGTAGTCTCTTGTAACTTGGAATGTGTCTTTACTATCTTTTCTCTTAAAAATTGCATAACCCCCATAAAGATAACACTATTTTCTAACCAAATAGCATGGGTTCTTACATATTTAGGGAGATTTTTCCAACATTGTGTACTTTTGTGAACGGTATAAGCAGAAAGGCGTAGACCGTTAACTCCAGGAAGACAGGGACTTTGTTTTGTTCATCAGTGTACTTCCACCACTAAGAACAGTGCTTGATACACAGTTTTCAGTAAATGTGTGTGGAAGGAAGGAAAGAAATCCCAGAGCTTAGAGTTCTGCACATATTGTATTCATACCACAAGGTGGTACTGTTGTACCATGAAATGAAAGGCTGTAATTCTTAGGCTGTCATACAGTTTTACGTAAATCCTATAAATAAGCAAAATGAATTGACTACCTATTATGTTTATTGCCTGCTTCAGTTATTTATCATTTTAGCATGTGATTAGTCTTTTGATTACATGATTAGGTCAGGCAATGAGATCATAACCTAAATAAAGAACATTTGGTTCAAATTTTTATCAGATGTTTAATGAGATAACATCTATAAAAACCTAGCACAGAACCAAGTTACTTTCCTTTTCTTTCTTTTATTTTGGGTTAGAAGCCTTTGTTAAATGTCTATTTGTTTTAAACATTTTTCTAATAAATTGTCACTAAACATTAAATGATATTTAATCTTTTGTTTGCCAGTTTTTAAAAAAATTGGTGATAAACCTAGATTTTACTATATTCCCTCCCCCTGCAAAAAAATTATTTTGTTTCCAGCATTCTTTTATGGAGTTAAAATATTTTACTAACATATAGCTAGCTCTATTACATGTTTATGCAAATATCATAGTGCATAAGTTAAATCAATCTATAATTTGTCTTGTTTTCATTCCTGTTGTAAAACTGAGTGTTGCTGTTTGTTTTGTAGCTTGGGTTTTTTTTTTTTTTTCTTATGATTAAATTGCCTTCTGATATTTTGGTTCTGTAATTGTCTTCAGACTGAAGGGAAATCAGAAGAGGGCCCTGGATGGACAATCCTGCGAGATGATTTCATGATGGGAGCGTCCATGAAAGACTGGGACAAAGAAAGCGACGGCACGGGTAACAGTGGCCCAGAGTCTGGAAGCGACACAGACACGTAGGCTGTGGAGGAAACACATATCCCATCGTTGTATCTTCCCTAGAGAAATGCCTCATGCTCTCGGAGTTGGGCATTTATAAAGCTATCATTTGTAAGAAACCCCAAAGACTTTTACTATTACCAACTTGATGTTTTTCCTTTTCATGAAAACTCTGTGAAATTAAGTTTTCAGGCTATGTATCATCTTAAGTATTGGTCCCTCAAAACATTTGTAAAAAGAAGTATTTCTGACTGATCAGCAAGATGCACATTTTGCCAGGACGTTGTAAGTTTTACACAGTGGTCTGGACATTGGTGTTTTTTTTCCATGTTCGCCAGTTTCTAGAAATACAGTACTCTTCACAATTAAAAATGAACTCCTTGAAGTTACTATGTTTCAGCTTCCCAACTTAATAGACCTGTGTGACTGTGTTTTCGGGGGGGGGTTGTCTGGATTTGGGGCATTTGTTTTGGTGAGCTATTGAGGAAACTTATGTAGTGACGTTTACAGTGATAGTATTTCTGATTCAGTATGATGATTTCATTTTTAGATCTTCTGGTAGATAAGATTTAAGGAGCACACCGAATCTCCCCTTTTATATTATGTCCTTTTATAAGCTACGTAATACATATGTAATGATTTAGATTTATCTTAAGTGTTAGGTTACTTTTCTATGAGAGATTTACTGGGACAGAAATTCTCATGTTTAACTTATGTAGTGAGGCATAATTTCTTAGAAAGCATATTTAACATGTTTTAGCGTCTCCCCCCTCCCCCTTTTCCCTGTTATTTGGGTTAGCTCAAACTCTCTTTTTTTTGGTCTGACTGACCAGTGAAATAGCGGTTGGAGTGCCAGTAGTCTGCTTCAGAATATTCTGTTGGGTTGGAGATTCAGTTCCTATTGTTACCTTAAAAGCGATTAAATTGGGTGACTTAGTATCCAGCTGTTAAACAGAAAGGAAAGAGAAAGTAAGACTGTTGAATATCATTCCGAAATTCTGTGAGACTGGGCCTAAGATGGAAAGCTTGTAGAGAAATTATTTAATGAATGTATCTGTTCCTTTTTTAAAAAGGATCCCTTCCTTTCTCCATCTTTCCATAATAAAATGGTTCCCGTCTACTACTCACTTGCACATACCTGCATCCTCCCCTCAAAATTATGCTGGAGCAGAGATACTGATATTTTCAAACCCATGTGAGTGTTACAGGTATTACGTATCTAAGGTCAAATTAGTCCATGGCCTGGTTACTTGTTATCATGAAGGTGTACACCTAAGGTATCAAGTGATTACACCGGCAACGTTCAAACTGCATTTTTGTAATTATCCCAACTTTTGAACTTTGATATCTTACTAAATTATAGGACTATCATTTTGTCAGGGTAATTTAAATAAGTGTGAACAAATCCTCCTCAATAGTAATTAAGAGTGCTAAATATCACAGTATAACCTAACACATAAATATTTCATTATAACCTAATACATACATAATTTTGGAAAAGAAAATTGTTGCAGCAGTTAAAAGCTTTTTTTCTCCCTAGAATTAAAGGTTATACTTCTTTTCTACTACTAATCTTATGCTGGATCATATGAAAACTTTGCAAAAATTCTTCTGAATAGAATGTTTGGGTGATAGAAATGGGTAAATAACTTTTCATTTACTAAAACACTTTGGAAACATACACTTGGAGTTTTTGGTTTAATTTTTTAAGATTGGGCAAGATTTTTTAACTGAAAATAAGAAAGAGAATATATGCAGATTTTCTTCTTTTGGAAATTATTCCAAAATAAAAATGAGTTGCCAGTATAAGAAAAAATTCTATCAGTTCTGTTAGAAGGCTATAAAACATATTCAAAGTACATGAAATGATTTCTATCATAAAGATGGGGGGAGTTTGATATATATTAGTAATGGTGCCTCTTGGCTGTACGATATGTAGGTACATATTCATGTACCATTGTATGTGAATGTAAATCCAAGGATCAGCCTATTGTTTTAGAAATTAAGTATGTATCTGGAGATGAATGTTTTAAATATTCTAGCTCTGTCATCTCTACCCTAAGTATTTTACCTACAATATTTAAATTCTCACATCAGCCAGATAAACCTACATCTTCCATCTTCTTATATTGTCTTTGAGTTAAGGGGGAAAAAGAAAAGAACTGCATTTCTGTAACCCTAGCCCCGATTTATCTAAATATAACAACAATATTTGGATTTTATTTTTCAATATTTGGATTTTATTTTTGTTAACTATTTAGAATAGTATAATAGTAAAAAGGTTATTTTTGTTTAGAAAGACTATGGAAAATAGTAACCAGGTAACTTGCAACTAGGTATCATCTTATCCCCTTATCTGGATATTTAGAAGGCTATGGTGAAGGTTCTCAATATTTAGCATAGTTTGTGTTGGTTATTAATTGTTTTTAGGCACTGAAATCTCCAAGTCAAAATTAATACCTGTTTCTGACTGAAGAAACGTAGTAGTTTAGTAGTTTAGCACTTTCGCTTGGAGTTGGAGTACTGGGTTTATTTTCAAGTTCCCTAGAATTCTACATAGATCAAATATTCTACTCATGGAAAAGCATACCTCAAAACCCTTTCGATGGGAGTTCAAAGCTCACCTTCAGTAATCAGAGCCGAAAATGACTCAGTAGGAGGTTCTGGAAGGTTTATTTGAGGGTAAGTCCAAATTCTTTAAAATATTTTGTGTGTTTTACAAGGGAGTGAAAAGGGAATGTTTATATTCTGGAAAACCTCATAGGACTCTCTTAATCACTGTGGTTTGCATTTATGAATATATTTCATATTCAGTGGCCGCCTGTGCCGGTCTTCAGGCCATGAGAGTCCAGAACTTCATTATACAACCATCTGATTACAGTTCACGGATGCCTAGAGATGTCCTAGTTAAAGCTACAGTAGCAGACATGTCCTGAGGTTGAAGTGTGAACAGCAGCATACACAGACTGATGATATAAATTGTGTGGCTAAGGAGTTAAAGGAATGGCCCAAGCCATGCCTGGAAAGGAATCCCCAAAGAGCATCAGTATTTCTATAGGAGACAAAAGAGGTGGTCAAATAAATACGGTGATACTTTTACAACCTTTGGATAATTTTTTGCTCACTTTTTTCTTATTTTTTGTTATTTCTATTATAGATTTTTATAAATATATGTGCTAAAAAGCCATAAGTGAAGTGGGATGTAAATTTTATTTTTTCAGTCTTTGTAATGACTTTAGAGTACCATGATCGTGTTTAGTATGTTGATCTGTTTGTGCAACATGAATTTCACTTTTGAAAATAAACATTTGAAAAATTACTAGATACATTTTGGACCTTTGTAATTGTTTTAAGTTTATTTATTTGAGAGAGACGGAGAGGAGAGAATCCCAAGCAGGTTCTGCATTGTCAGTGAAACCCCACGTGGGGCTCAAACCCACAAACCATGAGATCATGACTTAAGCCAAAGTCAAGCGTTGGACACCCAACTGACTGAGCCACGCAGGCACTCTGGAACAAGAATGTGTGTCTCTCTTTATGTGTCTGTCTTAGCCTAGGTTACTCGACCAGAATATCAGACTGGGTGGCTAAGACAAAGAACATTTATTTCCCGTTGTTCTGTAGGGTGGGAAGCCCCATGATTGAGGTGCCAGCAGATTTGATGTCTGGTGAGAATCCTCTCTGGTTTATAGGCGGCTGGCCTCTTTCAGTGTCTTCGCTTGGGAAGGCGAGAGATCCTCTTTTCTCAGTCTCTTTTATAAGGGCTCTAATCCCATAGATTAATCCCTCGTGACCTAATTACCTTCCAAAGGGCTCCACCTCCAAATACCATTACATTGGGGATTAGGGCTTTAGTATATGAATTTGGGAAGACACATCTTCAATCCGTAGCTGTGTGTAAAATAGCAAATTGTACATTTTTAACTTAGTTGTAGAATAATTCTACCATTGTTTCTTGTCTTAAATGTAAAACAACTAGAAAGTTGTGACATCTGCGTCTCCGTTCGATATGCTAGTGATAGGTAGAGAGACTGTTAAGCCCCGCAGATAGGAATATGAGGACTATTTGAGGTGAACTTGCAGTAAGAACAAATTTTGGAAACAGGAGGGAGGACTATTCCTTGCCTACAAAAAGCTCTCTCTTTTTATCCCCAAGAAAACAGGAGTCTGAATTTTGCCAGGTGGATGGATGAATCTCAGTGACTGTTGCTGCAAAGGTAGGCCTGGTGACCCTTTGACTGGGTGAGCTTCTCCTGACGCCTGCTTAGGCATATTAGTCCAGAGGGCCCAGGGACAGATTTGGAAGTAGAATGAATGGTCTTCGAGGTTCATGATAAGACATTTAGAGGAGTGAGAAAATACTAAGTTGCAATGAATCTAATCAGAATTTTACAGATGGAAGGTAACATCTAATGCCTCTTAAATACTTTTAGATTTTCTAAAGAGTGCTTGCTACCTTAGAGAACCACAGTAAAGATTTTTCATCTAGCCTATAAGCATAATTTCAGGGAGTTACATTGTAGGGCTTTTTATCTAGGTGTGTGATGAACCTTTTGTGCTCACGAGCGGTCTTCAGAGATAGTCACAAAACATGTTTTGTCAAGAATCACTAGTCCAGACTGCTCACCTCTTCCCTCTTTTTTGCCCCTCCCTCCAAAGGCAGGGGTTCACATTGAGCTTTCTGCTAAAATGCTCTTTGTAAGTAGCATTTACAACCAAGGATGTAAGCAAGCAGGTGTGTTAAAGAAGTGAACATAATCCCTTGTAATTTCAGTGTTCAAGTCAGTACAACAGTCCAATAGAAGTGTTGTGATGCTAGAAATATGTTAAATCTCCACTATCCAATATAGTAGCTTAAGTGGTTACAGAGTATTTCAAATGTCACTAGTGATACAAAGAACAGTTTTAAATTTTACTTAATTACTTTATATTAGAATTTCTTTTTAATGTTCATTTGTTTTTGAGAGAGAGAGAGAGACAGAGCATGAGCAGGGGAGGGGCGGAGAGTGAGGGAGGCACAGAATCCGAAGCAGGCTCCAGGCTGAGCTGTCAGCACAGAGCCTGACACAGGGCTCGAACTCATGAGCCATGAGATCATGACCTGAGCCAGTCAGACTCTCAACCCACTGAACCACCCAGGCACCTCATTAATTACTTTAAATTTTAATGGCTATGTGTGGCTAGTCAAGGTCTAAAGAAAAATAAAGTTACAGAGCATATATTTAGTCTGATAGTATCAGTAATCTTTGAAACCATGAGTACGAGTTCTGACAAACTTTTATGCATACAATTTAAGTACATACAAATAATGGTGTCATTTTATTGATTGAATTCTTGTCAGTTTCTTTTTTTTCCCTATTTGTATTTTGAAGAAGATATTTTTTTTTTAATTTTTTTAATGTTTTATTTATTTCTAGGAGAGAGAGAGAGAGAGAGACAGCGTGAGCAGGGGAGGGTCAGAGAGAGAGGGAGTCACAGACTCTGAAACAGGCTCCAGGCTCCGAGCTGGCAGTCAGCACAGAGCCCGACGCGGGGCTCGAACCCACGAACCGCGAGATCATGACCTAAGCGAAAGTCGGACACTTAACCGACTAAGCCACCCAGGCGCCCCTGAAGAAGATATTTTAAGTTGCTTTACAATTGCACTATTTCTCAGGTAAGTATTGTCCACAGATGTGAGGCCACTGTTAATAACAAACAGCGTTTGACTGTTTTTTTAGTGTAATCATCTGCAGCTTTCGGAATGAGTACACCAATTAAATCATATTGCTTCTCTAAGAGAATAGGTGTCTGCTACAGGAGAAGGGACATCTGGAGGCCGGCCGGATCCACAGGTCCCAGATAACTTCTCGGCGAGGAAGCTCCCTGACGACGTGCAGGGCCCTGGACTCGTCTGGTTCCAGTCTCTCCCAGCACACACCCGACATCCTGCCAGAGCAAATGCAGATTGCAGATTTGGGCAGAAAAACAGAAAACAGAGCGCAATGAGCATTATTAGCACGGCCAGTTTAAAATGATGAGGTGTTAACCACATTTGTATAAATAACAGTTTCTCTAACCCCTGAATCATTATCCTGCATTTTAAATGCAATCGGTTCATAAACATCAAAGCAAGAGCACCAGATCTGTATGGGGTCAGGATCAACTGGGACTCTGAATGGAGAGACAGCTGAGAGCTGTGTCCTTAGCGTGGGTGGCCTCGCAGCTGTTGATTCACCCTCAGGCGACCAGACAGTTGCTTCTTTGCGCTCACAGAACCAGACTTCAATCTGAGGTTAAAATGTGTCCCCTCCCATGGAGTGGACATAAACAGTGGATTGACCTCCGCTCTCAAAACACCAGCAAGGCAGCCAGACACAGCAGTCCCCCCAAATACTGCATAGCACCAAGCCTAACATCAGGGCCATTTCTATATAATATTTGTCTTTGTCCAAGAGCACTGGGCTCTCTTAAATGTATCATTGATTCACAAGCTCATAGGTCAAAAGATTCAAGGTGATACTATCTCTACAAGCATTAGTAATAACTAGATCATGTGACACCCGACTGCCATATTTTGGTTCTAACAAGGACACTTGATAGGTGAAATGATATATCACTAGCATATAAAAGCCATTGGGAGACACTTGTTCATACGAGGATTGGAATAACGTACGTAGCACAGTGCCTGCTGGGGAGTAGGGAGGGTCTGTTATGTGCATGTAGACTTGTCATTCATTTCTGATCTATGTAATTGTAAATGCTTCTCTTCTAGATAAAGAGTCCCCAGATAGGAGATACATATTGAGACTCAGGAATCCTAATTCTACTTCTAGAAACCCTACTCAGGAAAAAATCCTGATGATAAAAATGGTGTGTGAACAGTATTACAGCATTGTTATTTTTTTAATTTTTTTTTTCAGTTTATTTACTTTGAGAGCGGGAGCAAGCAAGCAGCAGAGGAGCAGAGAGGGGCTGAGGAGCCAGAATCCCAAGCAGACTCTGCACTGTCAGCACAAAGCCCAATATGCCCGATGTGGCTCTCAGATTCACAAACTGCAAGATCATGACCTGAGCCAAAGCCAGGAGTTGAATGCTTAACTGACTCAGCCACCCAGGCAACCCCTATAGCATTGTTTTAAATGGCAAGAAATTTTGGACAACCCACACAGGTTCAGTGATAAGAGATCATGTACATACGTTTTGGTACTTCTCCGTTTCTGCTACCATTTAGAATGATGTCTCTGAACACCGATGAAAACACATGCATCAGTAATACGGTAACTGAAAAGGTAAGATTAAAAACATGGGTAGGATAAGTAAGTTTTTTCTAATGCCAAAATTTCATTAGATGAATATAAGAATACATCTTTTGTAAAGATAATTTTGACAGTTTGAAAGACAAGTCTCCCACGGAGTAAAAAGATCCTGATGTTTAATGAGATATTAAAACATTTTTTGCCTACTTAGCCTGTTCCAGAACTGAAACATAAAAATACCGTCTTATCCAGGACCTTCTAAGGGTTGATAGGGAGAAGTGCAAAGATGACTATATCAAGAGTCCTGCTTGCTAGAATCCTGTTTTTTCTTTTGAATTTTAATAGTTACCTGGCTTTGAACATAAAAAAATGTGATTCTTGTCGCCTCATGTGTCACTTTGTGTCTCTTGATTAATAAAAATTTATTTTGAAATGAGAATATTTCCTTGATTTATTTTGAAATGTTGCCTCTTCACGCTCAACCATTTTATTTTGATAGTTCCATCCTTCAAGTTTAGGTTGGAACAGAATAAACAATAACAAACATTTATACAAAAATTATCATATGCCTGATGCGACTGAGTGTTTTATAATGCCTTTAGGTGCTGTTACTGTCCCCAATAAACAGCTGAGGGAACAGGGAAGGTCACACAGCCAATAAATACAGTCAAGTCCACACTCGAATCAACAGAGGTGCTGTCCACGACAGTGATTCTTCACATTTTAGATGGTATTAGTGTCCCATAGACAGTGAGATTCTAGAAATCCAACTTTGCTCCGAAAAACTAAATAGACATGTTGTATTTTTTAGTCTCATTTACTTAGGACTCAAACCTTTGGCCTGAAGAGGGTAGCAAGTGGATAACAAGTATCAAAAAGTGAAAATCTTAAGAAAGAAAAAAAAAAGTGAAAATCTTCCTGGAAGTGGCAATTTAGAGTTGACAGTAACACCTGTCCTCTCAAGCTTCATTTTGTCGGTTCACCAGTTAACCATACAATGTACTATTGGATCATTTACTTTAGGTCTTGAGTATATCTGGTAATTGAAACGTTTTAATTACCCAGATCCTGCAAAATGGAACTGCTGT